TGTACAACATTATCTTCTAAACTTATGGCAAAGACTTTCCAGCCTGAATCTCAGGGCCTTCCTTCTCTGTCTTCGATCTCCTTCATAAACACTGCTGATTATTCCCTCATTCAGAAAGGCTCTTTTTCTTTCATCATAACATATTTGCTGGCTTTCCTACCTTTTTGACCACTCCCCTTCCCTCCAGTCTCAGAACTACTGTCATATAATGCAGTTTTAACTCACCTGACTTCTGTTCTCAAATCCCATATGAGTTCTCAAAATCTGTATCTCTAGCCCTCTAAATTCCAGAATCTGGCTATCCCAAAAGCAACACACACGTACACACACCCTGCACTTTAAATGGGATGCTTTTCTCAAGAAATCCCTTATGTTCCCTATTTGTTAGTAGCTTCCCATTTTCCTCCTAGTCATATAGACCTGCAACATGTCATCACTCTGTCTCTCTCTTACTACATGGCATGTTCTGAAGGTTGACAGAATTAACTTTAACACCTCAAGAACACAGGCCGATCTCAAGCCTCAGCTTATAGGATTATGAGACCAGAAGAACTAGATGGTGCCCAGCTACCACTGTCAACCACTCGGAGGGGGATCTATGAAGGAGATCTTGGATAGGTTGGGAGAACAATGTGGAACAAAACTCAAAATCATAAAAAAAAAAAAAGGGGGGGGTGGTTACCAGGTTTGCTGGACTGATAAGCTTAGAGTCTGGTGGAACCACTGAGACTATGGCCCCTAGCTGCCCTTCAAGTCTGGAACTGAACCCACTCCTGTGGCTTCCAGCCAAACAAAAAGACAGGCATATGAGCTGAACATTTACATTAGGTAGATCAATCATGGGAGAATAGAAGGGCTGTGTATGTACAGGAAGACAGCTCAGGGGACAGGAGTACATGGAAGGGAAGGACATACAGAAGAGATAACTATGTGGAGGAAGTGGAAAAGGAGATGTTGCACTGTGGGAAATTGCAGTCAATGTCATGAGATGAAGTGTATGTGAGCTGCTAGATGGAAAATGAATTTGCTCTGTAAACTTTCACCCGAATCACAAAAATTAAAAAAAAAAAAAATATAGGTAATCTTAATTTGCAGTAGGGTTAGACTCCTTAATCAGAGGCTAGTTTTAAAGTGTCTACCGTACCTTTCTCTTGTTCCACATTCATCTCTTCTTGAAATAATACAGCATACCAGATGCAAAGAACTTAAAACTACTAGGTAAAATAAGTCAACATTAACCATCTAAACCTATAAACTACAAGCAGCCCTTGATACTACAATCACATTAGAAAAGTACCTTTAAACAAAACTTAACCACTGATATAAGTAAGTGTCTCTAAAATGCATACACTGAATGTTGCAGACTTGGGAATTATCCAATTTTTTTTTCTGGTAACTGACTCCTACTAATATTTTATTTTAATTAAATAAGGCATTACTAGGTTTATGAATTGTTTCTTGTTTATAATTTTTAAAAAAGTGAGAATTATATGCCATGTATCTATGGGGGAAATGAATTAAATTCATAAATGCCTACACATGGGCCAACTGCTCTCAAGGAAGGGATCTTAATAAAAATTGCCTCCTACTTGTTCTCTATTTTGAACCTCAAGAGGGGTCAAGTACAATGCTTCTCAAATTTAACTTCCATATGACAGGAGCTCTGGTGGCATAGTGCCTAAGGCATTTATTTGACTGCTAACCAGAAGGTTGCTGGTTCAAACCTACCAGGCACTCTGCAGAAGGAAGACTGGGGTATCTACTTCCATGAAGATTTACTGCCTTGGAAACCCAAAGGGGGTCGCTATGAGTCAGAATCGACTTGATGGCAGTGAGTTTTGTTTTTGGTTTTATATTACAGTAGATCACCTGGAGACCTTGATAAAATGCACATTCTGCTTCAGTAGGTCTAGTATGGAGCTCCAACATGAAGCTAATGCTGCTGCTGGTCCCGCTGATCCAGGACCACTTGTGGAAAACTGATCTTTAATACATTCATTTTCAAACTTCAATGTTCATGAGAATTTCTCATGGGGGCTTGCTAAACTCAACTACTTAAGATTCTGGGGTGAGTTCAGTACCTACAATAAATATCCACAAGTGATTCTGATACACACCAAGGTTAAAAGCAGCAGTCTTAACACACAGAAGGAGGCGGTATCACTCACACTGTAAACATTGTATATTTATTTGTGAAATTTTCTACTATGCAGCAGTAAAGTATCTTGAGGAAGGGATGCAGTTTTCTAATGAGCATGAAAGCATTTTACAGGATAGAAGCAGTTGAGTGATGTCAATCCTGCCACCCACACACCGCTTTGTCCATAAGATATAGCACTCCAAACACAGGAGGAGAATGGACCAGAGCTGATGCTCATCAGCTGATACTCATCAGCTCACACTCAACAGCTCACAACTAGAACACAGGTGGCAGTGGTTTCTTCCTTCTCTGTACAAGCCAATGGCCAGTACCAAAGGTCCTTTCCTCATCCTTATTGGTCTATCACTGAGCTAAAGAAATTAATCATAGTAGTAAGTTCTTGATTATTCTGGAGGAGTGTGAAAAGCTATGCTCCTCAACAGTTTTTCCCAAAATCTGGAATCACCTTGGTTTATTTAAAGTCTACTTATTGCCCTGAATTTAACCCAAAGTCCACCTTTTCCTGAAGACAGGTAAGAGCATATTTTATCATATTTGAGAATTAGATTTTAGGGGTATTATCTAGGCATATATCCTCATGGTTCATTTCTATCCCTGGTGCTGAAGTCACCAAAAGCGTCTTATGCATTAGTGTGCTACTGTCTCTAGCTAGAAAAGTAAACATTCAGAACACTTGGTCACGTTTTTCACCTTTTATCAAAAGAGAAAAAAAAAAGGTATCAGCTTATGGCACAATACACAACTACCTAGTACATACAGTCTGCCCTCCCTATCTGGGGATTCTGTAGATTCAACCAACCAATTACTGAAAATATTGGGTGGTGCTGAGGAAGCAATTAAATAGTCAAAACCAAAACCAAAACCAAAACCAAATCAAACCCATAGTGACTCATAGTGACCCTATAAATTTTGTTATCTGCAGGGGTTCTGGAACCTATCCCCTGCAATTATGGAGGGATGACTGTATTTAGATTATGGAAGAATGATCGTGACCCTATAGGACAGTAGATCCTGTCCCACAGGATTGCCATGACCGTAAATCATTACAGAAGCCAAATGCCTCATCTGTCTCCCCTGTAGCAGCTGATGGGTTGGAACCAAGGACCTTTTGGTTAGCAGCCCAATGCTTTAACCATAGTGCAACCAGCGCAATCCCACAATCACTAAGAGCAAGCGTGAAAGTGCTATTTACATATCATCTACACTGTATTAGATATTGTAAGTGATCTAGATGATTTAAAGTATATGGAAGGATGTTCATATTGAACATTGCAAATTTTGTTATCTGCAGGGGTTCTGGAACCTATCCCCTGCGATTATGGAGGGACGATCATACTTAATACAAACAGTCCTGGTGGCACAGTTAAGCATTTGGCTGCTAACTAAAAGATCAGCAGTAAGAACCCACCTAGTGGCTCAGGAGGAGGAAGATGTGGCGACCTGCTTCCTTAAAAACTACAGCCAACAACACCTTGTGGGGCAGTTCTCCTGTCACATCTGGCTATGATTCAAAACCAACTCGACATCTAATAACATAATAAGCAGTAATACTTAATATGTGTATAAGTATTTCAAAAGCAAAGTGTACAGCTAAATTGGACACCTGTTTTCACAAGTCATAAACATAAAGGAACCAATATAAAACACCCTGTAAACATAAGTCAAAGCTGCTATAACTTATTCTTAAACCAAAACAAACAAAAACAAAATCTGGCTCTCTCCTTTCCTAGAGTGTATTTCGTTACTCTGCAATTTCTGGGCTGTCTTCGAAGGGGTAAGCCTGTGAAAGGGAGAAAAACACTCTTTCAAATCCTTTGTGGCCGCAGGCCGTGGCCCTTCTACCAAATCTAAGACGGCTGCATGTATTTCAAACCACCAGGATTGGTGCCAATCTGTGCACGCCAACTTTTTTTTTTTTTTTTCCAATGAGTTAACACAAGAAAAAAAAAGAAAAAGACAAAGACAAGCCGAAGATCTAAGGGAAAGGAAAATCTTAACCGGTCCAGACTATGGCCATCCAACTACCAGAGATACCCAAAGACACTTCAAGGCCAAAAATACTTTCAGCCTTCATGTCTGTCCCGCTGGCTCCGTCCCAGCTGCTGTGTTAAAAACCTGGATGACGGAAATCATAGAAGGTGAGATGTAAGAATGGCAAAGTAGTCTTTCATACTCCCTTCCACTCCAGGAATAAAACCTCTGGCCTATCCTGAGCTGTTTTAAGTCCGGCCCCAGGTTACATCGATAGCTCCCCCTGTCCCAATCTCTAAACTTCCCTAAAACATTCCAATTCCTGGAAAGCGGTAAGGGAGGAGACCCAAAAGTTCTAGAAACCCTTAGAATCTGGTATGTGCAAATCCTCTTCTACAGTATGCAAGATGCTGTGTCGCAAAAGCAGCAATGCCTAAGTTTCCCCTCCTTTCTGGGAGCTAAGGACCGGGACACGTCCGGCAGTGGTGCGGGCCGTCAGGCTGGATCGCCCTGCCAGGGGCCGCGGGGCCAGCCTACCACCTGTGCGGTGGCGTGGCCGCCAAAGTTCGCGGCCCTCCACGCCGTCCAGGGGCAGGGCCCGCAGAGCGCGGGAAGCGAAGGACAGGGAGGGAACCCAGACACCCAGAAGGTGGCCCGCTGGTGAGGGACGGCGACTTCTCCACGCTTGGGACGCCCTAGCTCCCACCCGCCAGAAGCACCCACAGTCGGAGCCACAGGGGACCCCCCCATCCGCTCAGCGGCCCGGTCCCTTATCATGCACCCCGCACCCTCGCCTCGCCGGCTTACCATCGATGAGGGACCCTGCGCTCCCTGCGACCCCGCCCGGGCTCCCGGGGACGCGACTCACCTGTTTGCCCCGGTAAAAGAGACGCTGGCATTCGGGCCGCACGTCGAACAGTGCCCACACCCGCTCGCGCAGCTCCTCGATGGTGGCTTTGCGGGACACGTCCTCGATGGTGCGCGTCTGGGAGCCGTCGATAGTGCGCACCTGGATCCACATCGTGGTGCCCGCAGAGGGGCCGCCCCCCTTTGTCTCCCCGTCGGCTCGGGGCGCCGCGCCCCGAACGGCCCGCGCCGCTGCCCTGGTGCTCCGGTCCCCGCAGCAGGCGCGCGCAAAGAGGAGGACCGACCAGACGCCTGCCCCGACAGGCGGCAGCGGCAGCCCGAAGACTGCGTGCCCGCCCAGCGGAGGGGAACAGGAAGGAAAACCGGAACTAGTCCGAGGCGCCGCAGCTGCCGCAGCCCCCACTTCACAAATAAGAAGGAGCCATATCTGCGCCGCGCGGTGTGTTTACTTATAGAGCTGGAGCTCCCACATGGAGGTCACGGCGCCAAGCCTGATCTCGCGAGATCCGCCCTGGGCTCCGCCTTAAAGAGGAGGCGGAGGGGAGGAGGCCTGAGGTAAGGAAAATGGGCGGGGCGGAAGGGCGGGGCTACCAGAAGCCGTTACTCGCCTCTTCGCGGGCACTTGGCCGTCTGGCACGTCTTGTGGGCCCCAGGTTTTGGGCGGTTACACGGCCGCCAACGCAGGTTGCCCAGTTGGGTTGTGTTGTTACAGTAGATGTGGCGGGCGACTTCTCAGGCCTAACGAACACTTTTCGCTAGTCTCAGAACACACCCAAAATCAGAAACCCTGAGATGCATCTGTGTGATCCTGACGAGGGGCTCGGATGGGCGCAGCCTACTTTTCTGAGAAAGCGACTAATGAAGTGACCACGTTCCACGGGGCCTGACGGATTCTGCCGGGTGGAAAAGGCTCCACGGCCTCTTCCACGTTGCGAACGCGTCTGCTGCTGGCCCCGAGTGAGGCCTGAGTTCGAAAACCCGGTTCCTGGTTTTGCGGGTCAGGCGTGATTGGCAGCCTCAGGTCCACAGGCTGCGAGGCCTGCTGAAATAGTACTCTCAGACCATCGCTCTCCCGCTTGGGCCCCTGGTGGTGGAGGCGGCATTTCCGCGGCCCCAGAACTACACCCGGACCACACTGTCCGGTTTGTGGGTTTGTATTCAAAGTACCTGTGCCTTAAAGGGTTGCAGGTTCGTGGGAAATACTGTTTTAAAAAATGTACAACTGCACACTGAGAAGAAGGGTCTCTAAATTAGGGATTGTAGTCTCAGAAATAGGCCTTGTGCCTATTTCTCCCCTAACAGGGAGATCTGAAGTGAAAATAAAACCCACTGCCTTTGAATGGATTCCGATTTATAGCGACCCCCATTGGGTTTCCAAGGCGGTACATCTTTAGGGAAGTAGATTGCCCCGTCTTGCTTCCGCCCGAGTGAAAATAGAGCTCCATAAGAGAACTTATGAGTATAGAAAAGCCAACTATGAGTTTGTCAAAATTGGTTACTTTGCTATCCACACTGGTGTGAATTATAGCTACAAAGATAGAGTAGCATTTTTTGTAATAAACAATTAAGATACTACAAGCACTAACATTCCTGAAGGAAGCCCTGGTGTGCACAGTGGTTAAGCTGGTAATCAAGAGGTTGGCAGTTGGGTTCAGCGCACCCAGAAGCTCCATGTGAGAAAGACAGCCAATTGTGCCTAGGATTGCCATCCTAGATAACCCTTGGCACTTAACAACAACAAGGTCCCAGGTTGCTGCAAAGGTTTGCAGGGCCAGTAATCAATTGGCAGTTGGAATAGACCAAGCGACACCACAGAAGAAACAGGCCTGGTGATCTATCTCAGTAAAGATTACAGCCAAGAAAACCTTATAGAGCAGTTGTACTCTGTAACACGTAGAAGTTCCAAAGTCACAAATCAAAAACAAAATAACAATAAAATATTACAAACACAGATAAAAGCAGGTGTTATCATAAAAATTTCCTCAATGTAAATGAGTTATAATACCTAATGAATGTAAAGTGCTTAGTTAGCATAGTGCCTGTGTTTGTCTTACACAATAAATTATTTTAGTGCCATTGCTATAAAGAGGATTTAGATAAGCAGAGATTGCCCAAAAAAGGGGAGTGTGCTTAGGCAAAGACAGAAAGCAGGGCCAACTATGCATTTTCACAGGTCAGTATGAATTACACCTCAACATAAAGAAAACAAAAATCCTAGCAACTGGACCATTAAGCAATAGCATGATAAATGGAGAAAGATTGAGTTTATCAGGAGTTTCAGTTCACTTGGATCCACAAGCAACACCCACAGAAGCTATAGTCAAGAAATCAGACACTTTTGCACTGGGCAAATATGCTGCAAGGGACCTCTTCAAAGTGTTAAAGAGCAAAGATGTCACTTTGAAGACTAAGGTGCACCTAACCCAAGCCATGATATTTTCGCCTCATATACATGTGAAAGCTGGACAATGAATAAGGAAGACCGTAGAAGAGTTGATGCCTTTGAATGATGGTGTTGGTGAAGAGCACTGAAAATACCATAAACTGCCAGAAGAACAAACAAATCTGTCCTGGAAGAAATGCAGCTGAATGCTCCTTGGGAGCAATAATGGCCAGACTGGATCTCAGCTACTTTAGTCATAGGAGCTCTGGTAGCATAGTGCATAAGGCACTTGACTGCAACCAGAAGGCTGGCAGTTCAAACCCACCAGCCACTCCTCAGAAGGAAGGTTGGGCAATCTACTTCCGTAGTGCTGCTGTTGTTGTTGTTACGTGCCTTCGAGTCGGCCCCGACTCATAGCGACCCCTCCTTGAGTTTCCGAGGCAGTATCACTATGGAAGTAGGATTGCCCAACCTTCCTTCCGAGGAGTGGCTGGTGGGTTTGAACCGCCAGCCTTCTGGTTAGCAGTCAAGTGCTTTAGCCACTATGCTACTGCCTTGGAAACCCAAGGAGGGGTCGCTGTGAGTCGGGTCTGACTCGATGGCACATAACAACACTTTGGTCAGATTGTTAGAAGGGACCATTCTTTGGAGTGGGACCTCTGGTAGAGTAGTGCCTAAGGCACTTGACTGCTAACCAGAAGGCTGGTGGTTCAAACCCACCAGCCACTCCTTGGAGGGAAGTTTGGGCAATTTACTTCCCTAGTGATGCTGCCTTGGAAACCCAGGAAGGGCTTGCTATGAATCAGGTCTGACTTGACGGCACATAACAACAACAATTCTTTGGAGAAGGATATGCTTGGTAAAGTAGAGGGTCATCGAAAAAGGAGACAACCCCGAATCAGATTCTATATTTAACAATATACATCCATCCTGTACATATTGTAACTAAGGTTTTCTCTCCCCTACAAAACTAGTATTGGCTCCTTAGGGATCCTCTACCACTCACTTGTAAAAACAACATAGAAGTTACCCAACAAAAGCCACAGAATTAGACAATTCTAACAAAGCGTGCCTTATTTCCAGATGTGTATCTAAAACAACTTGGATGTGAACAGGGAAAAAGAAGAGGAATTATTTACATGAATGGAAAATCAATAGTAAAGTTTATGCCATCACCCACTGATCCAATATTCAAGTCCCAAGAAGCAGAATAAAGGGAAAATATTGTATAGTATATTTTAAAATTAAATGTTCTACATCATTGGGGGAGCTTAGTATGGAGTTCCCTTGGTCACAAGAAATTCCTGATCCTGTCTGTCCTCTTTACACATCTGTGAAAAAGGACGTTGGAGTGGGAGAGGAATAATTGCAGCTGAGCTGCATCTATTGTGCCAATAAAATGCTTCTTCATAAATAAATAAATACTCTAGAGTCTTTTTTTTTTAAATCACATCTCAGAGTGTCTCCAGTTTTTTCAACTAACATCCCAAAGTCAAGAAATTCTAAAACACAAATTCATTTCAGTATGCTCTCTGAAGCTACAATGACCAACTTCTTATTTGTACCTCTCTGTTGAAGATCTTCCCTTGCTCTTCCAATGACACTAATATGTTTGCTGTCCTGGTGACCAAGGGTAGAGAGCACATCAACTAGGTGGTACCCTAGGCTTCCCACTGAGTTTGGCCAATGAAGAGAGAACACAAACAAGAGAGTGTGGATGGGAAAAGAACATGCTCAGGGCATTTATTCTCCTGCCTTTCTCCTGGAAATGTCACCTTAAACTGTCTACTGTCTTCACCTGGTCACTGTGCCTCTGAAAGTGGCCTGCTTTACATGATGCCCTCTTCCATGTTTTGATGAAACCTCTCGCTCTCCTTGTTATTTCGGGTCTAGGAGTTCTAACAGCTTTACTGTAACTAGTCCTAGATTCTTTTATTACTCCTTTGGTTCCCTATACCTTGCCCCACACCTTTATAATTAGTCCTTTTTTGGGAAAAAAAAACAAAAACATTAAATTATCTTAACTGGAGTTTTTCTGTTATCATCTCTAACATAATTTTAGATAGAATTTAGATAGTATTATTGGGAGTCAAGTAGAATTTCCACTGAGTAAAAAGCACTTCATATTGTGGCTTCATATTACTTAGCCATATTTTAAAGGGTGTGCTCTTTATTTTTAACAGAATCACAGATTTTTACTTTAGTTACTATGTTAGAAAACTACTTTAGTAATCATTCTTGTCTAAGCTTCTCTTTAGCAAATGAAGTGATTTGGCCAAGAACATGTGACCATTGAGTGACTGTTGGAGCTTGAATCCTTAGTTTCTCTTGCTTCTTTACCTTTTAGCTGTCCCTCTTTTATTTCTCTGGAGGCCTTTCTCCCCTGGCCTTTCACTTAGTCCTTCCTGCAGTGAGTGCCTCTGGTTCTTTGGAATATCCAATGACTCAGGTGGAAGTCAAGACCTGGGGTTTTCACTAAAGACCTGCTAATTTATCCCAGTTTTCAGCTCCATGCCTTCTGAGATTGGTACTTCCTGTTGCTGAGCCTTTCTGAGAGTCTTTGGATCAATTAAGCACAGATTTTCCTCACAAAAGGCAGTTAGGGTTCAACTTCCTGATGATGGGGTCAATTTAGGGTTCAACTTCCAGTTAGGTTGTTATAATTTGGCAACTGATAACTAGCTTTGCCCCAATTCTTCAGAAAGAATATTACCCTTTCTGCAGCTTTATTTAGTGGTGTTGTGAGGGCAGTTGGAAGGGAATTAAGGAACAAGATTGTAAAAAGAAGAGCAGTATTAACAGCCTTTTTTCTCCCCTGAGGCTAGTGTAATTGGAACTATGTGGTATAGACGAAGAATTGACCAACATTTACCATCAAGATGATTCTGATCATGGCAACCCCACATGTTTCAGAGAACAGCTGTGCTCCATAGTGTTTTCTTTTCTCTCACTCTTTCTTTAAATTAGTTTGTTAAAGTATATGTAACAAAATGCTTTCTATGTTAGCCATTTTTAAGTGTAAATTCAGTGACATTAATTGCACTCACTATGTTGCTCAACCATCATCACAATTCATTTCCAAAATTTATATCTCCCTAAACAAAACTCTATTTCACTT